ATACTATATGTGTGTGTGTGTGTCTGTGTGTGTGCACATATCTATCTATCTATCTATCTATCTAGATACAGATATATCTATAATATATACAGTATATTATTTATTTATTTATTTAGAGTGTGTAGTATGTGTTCTTTGCTCTCTGACAGCAATAGCAATTGGTCTTTCATGCAACCCTGGGTATGATTTTGTTGAGTTTTTGTTTGGCTGCATAATCTCTGTGGCAGAGAGGAAATGGAGAGTTTAACGCTGAAGCAGCTGCTGTCTTGGGGAGTTGTCCGTCTGAAGCAGTGTGTTAATGCCATCATGTCCCAATACAACATCTTAGACAGATTATGTGGGACAGCTTCCTATATCTATAACATCTTCAACTGGATAGTGCAGAAAATGATGCTAGATAGACTGTGCTTATAGTTCTAGTTAATAGGATATTTCATATTTGACCTCTAATCCAGTTGTCATCTCTACCCTGCAGCGTTTCTCAAGCTACCTTTGCGGTGGTTTATTTAAGGTCAAAACTGTGCCCTTTAAGGGATAGTTCACCCAAAAAATTAAACTAACCATTTAATGCATCATGTCTAAGAATTGAGCTAAAGGAATTAAGAAACCCGTATTTTTATTTAGTATATTTGGTTGTTGAATATTTCGGTTGGCCCCTTTAAGGTCAGTGACTTGTATTGTTTGCTGTGTGTGTGCAGACTGTATTAAGTGCATTTCAACTGACTGATTCTGATTGCATGCTGCTGTTTCTCAGAATATTGCAGTCCTTCTCTCATCACCAAGGCGCTGCAGTTGTGTGAGATGTCAGCCATTTTGTGGGGGAGAGGAAATGGCTTTGCTGAGAGCAGGTGTGCTTTAATAAAATGAAGGGTTAAGCCTTTAAAGTAACTCATCTAATTTGACCATGTTCTCGGTTGTACTCGATACAATCTATAATGTGATTGTGTAAGTGAATCCAAGAACACACAACCTTCAGTTTGAACCACACTCTGGACTGTAGGTAGCTTTTCTAGTTGCATCAATAGTCACTTTAATGTAGCAACCAACATGTATGTGGCTGACACTTTATCCATGACATTTCGAGACATGCTGTTACATAATAGCTGGTGAGTCAAGTGATTTCTGAAGCTGAAAATGAGAGCAGTAATTTTTCACACAATTCATTTAGATAAACCAGCAATTAAACTAAATGTCCCTGTACGTACGAATAGCGGATTGGGTTAATGGTTTTAAAGTAATTACATATTTCAAATGCTTTAATATGAGCGGGTGTTTAGGATCTTGAATGAGCTTTAGAATATATATGGCAGTTTTATTCATCTTTTGATTGTACAATTTTCTGGACATTCTCCAGCAATCTCTTCATTGTACTGCAAAGAGTCGTGTTTCTCTGCTATTTGGAGCACCTCCGTACACGTATGTCTCTGCTATATATGGATACACCAGAACAGAGCTGATGCCCTACTTCAGAAATCTCTGCAGAGCTCCCTCCTTCTGACGCCAGCATTCTTATTCTTCTTTGTGAACTGAATCAATAATGACTCTTAAAATGGGTCATATGCATTGAAGTTGCAGATATGAACATTTGGAATTATTTTTTCACATTCACTTTTTTCACATTTTTCACATTATATTTCTTTGCACTGCATTCATAAAAAAATGTATAGAAAATATATAATTAAAAATTATTTCATATATATATATATATATATATAATTTATTTATATTTATATATACTTTTATATATATATTTATATTATATATTTAGATATATCATTTATTTTATTTTTTTTATAAATTTCAAGAAAACATACAGCTGTTAATTATATCGACAGCAATTCATGAGTTTCCTGACGATGACCGTAATATGTAATTATGCGTTTTTGAAAGAAGTATCTCATGCTCACCAAGGGTATATTTATTTCATGAAAAATACAGTAAAAACTGTAATATTGTGAAATATTATTACAATTTAAAATAACTATTTGCTACTGTTTTCTAAAACTAAATGTTCAGCATCATTGCTTTAGTCTTCAGTGTCACACGATCCTTCAGAAATTAATCTAATATGCTGATTTGCTGCTAAAGAAACATTTATTATTATTACTAATGTTGCAATCAGTTGTGCTGCTTCATATTTTTGTGGAAATTATGATGTTTTATTTATTTATGTATTTATTAATTAATTAATTTATTTGTTTGTTTGTTTTGCATCTTTTAATGTCACTTTCGGTCAATTTGATTAGTATTTGCGGAATAAAAGTACCAATTTCTTTCTAAATTCTCACTGACCCCAACCTTTTAAATATGGTTGGATATGAGTTACATGTCCACAGTTATGTTCACAGACAAAGCAATTACAAAAATACAGCTCAGCCATGACTGTGAGTTCTGACAAAATTTTATTTTAAATGTAAGTGTTCCAATAATAAAGTAAAACATAAATCAACAGCGATGTAAATATTAGCTTATAAAATAAAAAGGGTAACATGAGGTGCTAAGCATTTCTTAAAAGGAATCACAGTCAAATACAGAAAGGTAGCCAAGCCGCAGACAGACATTTATATATATATATAGATAGATAGATAGATATTCATAGTCAAACAGACAGGAGTGGCATTCCAGTATCATTACCGACTGATTGGAATTACAAGCACAGAAAAGTACAGTAAGATGTGGGGAGGGGTGGTACTCAGTAAGTATCGTCTGTTATCTTTCAAAGTTTTAGGTGATTGGAGAAAAGGAAAGAAAGTGTAATCAAGGGGGAAAAACACAAAAATATGCACATACTCCACAAGCCTTAAGCTACGATTGCGTGTCTTCAGAAGTTGTAGTATGTATAGTTTGGTTAGTCAATGATCTTGAAGCTTTTCTTCCTACAACACTACACTAGATCTTTTTTCTATCGTCTTTTTTGTTGCTTTTTTTTTTAAATACTGAAACATTCCTGTAACAGCCAGCCCTTGTGGCTCTAATGTTTGTACAGACAGGTTACACATTTTATATACACTGTGGTGGTTGGTGCAGAACAATGGACAGAATCCTTCCATCTAAGATCCATTCAAGTACAGTGTTACACTTAAGTTAGTCATTAGTCTTTCCACATGTTCATTATTTGTTTATTTCTTTGTGGTTCACTTCATGTTTTCCATTTAACTCTTAGCACATTCACTTTGACCTAAATCTTTCTCCGATCTTGACCTTACAAAGGCTGAGTAAGGTCTTCAAAAATCTTTTTGATCTTCAAAAACACTGTTTACATTACTTGCATTTCCAGGATTCTGGATTGTTAAATGTATTCTCTTACTCCAAAAACTAGTTAAATATACTTTCGTGTGCCCTTTTTTTAGTATCCACTTTTCACTGCATAGTTCAGCTCAATACTCTTTTTTTTTTCTTTCTTTTTTTTCAGTCAAGGTGAGATTTGTGGCACATTGTTAAAAAGCCTACCAGCGTTTCATTTTGTAACCACAAGAAGCATCTACTTTGCTTTGAGAAAAAAAAAAAAAAAAAGCTGAAACATGACATTTGGAAAAAAAATAATAGAAGAAATGTATATTTTCTTCTTGTTTTAGTAATGCTATTTACAGAATAGAGGTATCTGTCAGAAAACAAAGAGGTTCAGGAATCTGAACACATCTCCTCTTGTTCAGTTGTTCTTTGTTTCAGCGACAGAACAGGAAATGCTTGATTTTTGGGGGTTATTGAGTAAGATACTGTAATGCAATTCAAAATACAATAAATAAAAATAAGGAAATCTAAAACAAACAAATAAAAATCTCACAAAGAACATTAAATTTAAAGATTGTTGATTCTTTAACCAAACCTGTGGACTCGTTTTTTTTAGGAGAGATGCTCAGATCCTGGCGACATATTTCTGGCGACTTTGATAGTGCTTCCACGCATCTTATTTCTTGTCTTTCTTAGTAGGCTTCTTCTTGCTGGCAGGTGTCTGAGCTGCCTTGGGGGCTTCAACAGGAGGAAGGGCCTGGGGAGGGGGAAGGGCCTGCTGGGGTACCTGTTGTTGAGGGTTGGCCGTGAGGGTGGCAGTACTACCCGGGATGTAGACGTTCTGGCGGTAGTCCGGGCCGTACTGTGGATTGTAGCGAGGGCCGAGAGTTGCAGTGGCTTCACTTACTTCTGAGAGCAACGGTAGGGTGAGAAAGAAAGAAGAAATAGTAGGAGGCATAGAGACAGTAGAAGAACAGGAGAGAGAGATGGGAAAGGTTATAGATGGGTTAGTTCGGCACAGAGCTCATAATTCAGTCACTCATGAACCGCATTGCAGCTCCCTCAGTGACCTGCTTCTGCCTGCCCATCCCCCATGCATTATGTATGCCGTAACATCGACACACATCACACACTCAGCAACACGCTTGCAGAACAGAAGACGTGTAAATAGAAGAATAGCACACTCAAACAATACTATTTTTACAGTTCTTGTAAAATACATTGCGAATGGAAGTGACATCCTCTAACAGCAGTGAGGCAGTTCTGCCTTTGTTCCCAAAGTATAAATCTTTTCCACAAATTCACAATTAAACTGTAGTCATGAAATTGTTATCCAAAATCCACACTTGTGAAAAAGAAGTGCACTTAATTGCACTGAACATGCACTTGTAGTATACTTCAAATCGCACAAGTACATTTTAAAAAGAGTTTGCAGATTTATATAATAATAATGAAATAAAAAGCCACTTAATTTCAGTGGCAGCTCGTCGGGGAGGCAGGGGAGGCACAGCCTCCCCATAATTTTGAGGTGAAAATGGGAGGAGGACGATTTAATGTTAATCAAATTCACAATTCATTTCAGTTCATGTCTCAGAATGTGTATTTTTTGTTTGTAATTTCACAGTTGTAATATCATAACGTGAAAGCGCCGCTTTTCTATCGCGAATGTGCCGAATCTGCTGATGTAATTACAACCGCTAGGTGATATAGAAGGGGAGGGGGAGGCCGAGCGAGCGCTGAGCTCTCGTGCCTCCGTTGGTAAAAAAAATTAGCCAATCAGCATCGAGTGTTCACTTTCAGCACTGAGGAGTGTTGAGAAAAGAACCCTCGCAAGGGAGGCTAGCCTTCCTTTCTTATATCAACCAACCATCAAAGAGACGTAAATTACGTGATATTAGTTTGAACGTCTGCCGCTGCGCTGGTAATGTACCTAGTAGTTATGATGAGTAGCGATATTGAATATTTGATCGCCAGCAGATTTACCAAGCTGTCATTCAAACAGTATATATACAAATTTAGGGAAAACAGCCTAAGCTGGATATAGGAGGCAGCTCTCTTTTAACACAGACTTTTAAGAAGGGATGGATGTTTGCTTCAAGTGATAGGCCAGGTAAGTGAAATTATATTATCTTGCTG